TGATGCAAATTGTGTTTGTTGGTGAGATAAATTGTTGGGAATCTAAGTGTAAGTCTAAGTTTCACCTTGGATAGAAATGTGTTAATAAAAACTGATTTTATATTAAGTGAGAAAAATACTGAAAAAATAATTCCGATGGTTGAGAATATCATTTCTATTGTATTGCATGAAACTAGTTACAAGATCCATGAAAATCAATTTTTCTAGGATTTTGAATAAACTTTCATTACATTATAATAAGAATAATTATTATTATTATATTAATGATCATTATAATTATTATTATTAAATAATAATTACCCCTATTAATTTTTTTATTTAAGTTAATCATTTATATTTTATGTTAAATTAAATTAAATTTATTTTATATTAATCTTAATCATAAGGACAAAATTATAATAATGAATTTTAATTTATTAAAGCATTTATTATTTATCACATTCATCAAATTATTCATAAACATCCACGATTTTTTCTACACATTTTTACACTTTCATTTTTTATATTCCTTAAAACAAACAATCACATTTTATTCTCTCCATTCCATTAAATTAATCCATTCACTATTTTTTACACACATCTTCAAAACCAAGCAAACAAAATAACTTGTATAATGACTTTTATTGTTGATAAGTTATAATCTGACTTTTATTCACTTAGAATGATATAAGTGATTTAATGTTTTATTTTTATATATTTATTTGTGTTTTTCTTTTCATAATAAGCAAAGTGTGAAATGTAATTTTCATCATGTGTTTGATGTGATCATCTATACTTTGTATTGATTTTTTAACAAATTTTCATGCGGACAGATGCGTTTTAAGGCATTAACATAGTTAGGATGATGAAATTCATACTAATAACTAACATATTTATTAAAAAAATGATTATTTTGATTATTTGTGAATATTTTAAAGTTTCCAATGTTGTAATTACTATATGATTAATGTAATCGATAACTTATTTAAATAGTAATTTGAACAATTGAAAAAACTGAGTTGATGTGATGCATGAACAATAATTTAGATATGTAATATAAATATTGAACATGTAAAGATAAAAGATACCACAGTGTCTCGCCAAGTACTATTACAACTTATTATTGAAAGAAGATACATTTATGTAATTTAAATCACAATTTAAAACACTAAAAAAAATAGAAAATTTAAGTATATTATTTATGCAATTAACTTATTATAATATGTAGACAAATAATTTATAACGAAAAATATAATAAGTTTTGTTTTATACATATTTAATATGGTGGCATGATTGTAATTATGATAATAACTTTGGTTGATATTTGAACTAATGTAATAAAAAAATATTTTAAATGTTGTTTCTCATACTGATTTTAAATATTCTTTCTTTTAGAAAAATATAAAAAAAAAGTTATAAATACTACATCGTTTGGTACGGGGAATTGATGTAGTATGTTTTTTAAGATTTAAAAATTAAAGAAAAATATACCATTGAAACTATGAATCAGTGTAGTATAATTTATTTTCATATTGTGATTATATATATATATAAATTTTTTTTTTTTTTGCATTTTCTATTCTTTTTGTTTTGTCTTTGCTATTATCATATTAAAGTTTATTACACTCCTTTAGTATATTTGTTTCTTTTATCTTTCAATTTGAACTTAGATTTATATAGGTTTTAGGATTTACACCGTTGTTAAGCTGTCAAGTTTGGGGTGTCATGTTGTCAAGTTATCAAGTTCGGAGTATTGTGTTCCTAAGCTCTCGAGTTCAAGTGTGATGCTGCTAAGTTGCCTAATTATCGAGTTTGAGGTGTTGTATTACTAAGCTACCAAGTTCGGGGTGTCGTGTTGTTAAGTTATTGAGTTTCAGTTGTCGTGTTCCTAAATTGTTGATATTGGTTTGTCAGGTTCACTTGAAATTGTTGAAGAAGGTCGGCCTTGAGAGTTTAGTAGGCAGCCAAGATAAAGTCCGAGAAGGACGAAGTGTCAAACTTGTGTAAGAAGGTAAGCCAAAAGTTGTCAATTAAATACTAGGAGCTGATACAAATTTCAAATCATGTTGTTTTGTTGTCTTCTAAGCTCAGGCAACTAAGAGAAGCTTGACCGTCAAAAGAGAAACTCAGTCAATAGAAAAGAAATCTAGCCACCTGGGGAAAAGCTCGGTCTAGACAAAGATTTTTACTCAACTTTCGGTGCAAGTGCCCAAACAGAATTAAAATAGGGTTTTGCAATGTCATATTAGCAGATAAAACATAAACCAATTATGTTATGACAACAACACACACTCTCATGCAAAAAGAGGACAAAATAACTTTTTTTTTGCAGTTTTTTAGATTTTTGTTGAGAAGAATTGTGATTTTAAGGCGAGTGATATTAATTATGAGATGCAAAAGTTTTTTTTTTCTTTGCATATTGAATGAATGTAATAGTCAAGGAAGATTAGCTTTAATTTTTGTAAGTGTTGAGAGGAGGAGACGTATGAGACTCCTCTATTTTGGCATGTTTTATTTTCCAAGTTTAACAATGTTATCGTATTGATTTGAGATTAGTTTTTGGATTCCATACGTTTTAAGTTTTTCTTTTTACTGTTCTATTTCTTCTTATTTTATATTTCCTTCCATCGGTTTTAGTTTTTGGTTTATAAATGACATGTTTTAGTTAGGAGGATTTATTTGGTGCAAGTATGTCTAGTTTTACGCACCCACTGAATTTCCCATCTGGCTTTTGATCACAAGTATGTCTAGTTTTAAGCACCAACTAAACCATTTATTCCATTTTAGCTTTTGTTCCTTACTTTGATAGTCAGTTTACTTGCTTTGGTTTATAGTTTTTAAAGATCTCTTTCATTTCCAAGTTTCATAATCATTAGTTCATTTTCCCTTTTTAATTAACCTTATTGTATATTAGTTTAGTTAATACTCCTTTAATTTATGTTCCATGGTTTTAATTTAAGTTTAACACATTGCATTTTACTAGTTGTTTACTCCATCCCATTTTTACAATTGCTGTGTACTTCTAAAAACAAAAATAAAATTTTTTTTTTTTTGCATTCAATCCAACTTTAGAGTGACTTGAGTAGAACCTTATGTTACACTAATAAGAGTGATTAATTCAGATTTTTTTGGGATAGTTTTGGCGACAAAGGACTGTCTACCACTTACCCCCAGGATAGTTTTGACACCGACGTTGAGCATTTCACCAAGTAATTTTTCTGCCTTACTTGATTCATTGTCTTTGCAACATCCATCTATTAAGATGTTATATGCTATAACATAAGCTTTCAGGCCATAGGTCAGCATTTCATTAAGAAGATCCTTTGCAGCTCTCCCGTTCTGGTTCCTGCACAAACCTGCAATTAAGGTATTATAGGTTGAAACATTTGGAATAATCCCTTCTTCTAGCATCGATTTATGCATTGCAAATGCCTCTTCCACCATCCCGTCTTTGCAGAATGCATCAATCAATGTATTAAATATTAAATGTTGTCAAGTTAGGCAGAATTCTCCTCTTTACCATTTCCTTGTACACGTATTCCATTTCTCCTGTTTCATTCTCCTTCTCCAGACCACTCAGCAACGAATTGCATGAAATCAGTGATAACTTATATCCATAATCATGAGATCGCCTAAATGTTTCACTGGCAGCACGAATTTGCAAATTTCTTTCATATGCTAGGATCAACATATCAATTATTAGATCATTTGTACACGGAAGGTTTAAAAAAAATAATCAAATCCTAAGCATCACAAGGATTATTTACTATTTTATAGATATATGTTGAAGCACAGTTACAACTTATGGATGGAAAAAGTTTTCTTACCTTTAACAGATCCAGTAAATTTGTCTATAACCATTGCTCACTGAATCCTTCCCTTGAAGGTCAGTTAATAAATACTAGAGATCATCATTGATGGCAAACATAAACTGCAATGAGCTGTGTTTGTATTAGAAACAGAATAATACATCAGACAGAACTAATAAAAAAAGCATAGTTAATTGGTATATGTCGTCACAAATCAAATTATGCATATTTTTTATTCACTAGAAATGATTGAATTTGTTTTCTATGATCAGTGTTTCATTAATGTTTTCTTGTTTAATGGTTTAGTACACTTTGTATAGAGTTGAACCTTTATCAGTATTGCCAAGGTTGTCAAACACCATAATTTACATAAACTCTTAACTAAAAGTAAAGGAAATTACATCATACTGTGTCATACACGTATAACACACCATGAATAATATGGCATTGAGGTTATATAATAATTTAAAGCCCGTTACTCATACAGCAAAACACGGATTATATCTCATAATCGTTTAAAGACGTAATATAAAACCAAATTGTACCAAAAACAACGATACGTGAATGGAGGAGAATGACATCACATAGCCAAAAAAAAATAGAAAATATAAATTATTATAGCATCACACAACAAATGAAAGAAGATAAATTTAAAAAAAAAAAAATTATATCAGAGCGCACACACCCAAGAGGATGAAACTGTGAACAGTCTGCAGTGGCTTGCCCTGGTACCGAGAATGGATAGTTTTGAACATCGCTCCTAGTGGCTTTGAGGAACAAAGCAATTGTGTGCCCTAATTTTCTCTGATTTAGTGTGCCTCAAAACGGAGCTACAGGTGTTGTTTTGGACAACAAAAAATGGTGTCCATAATTTATAAGACAAGCACACAAGTTGTTGAATATAACAAAAACCAGAATATAACAAAAACCATGATATCTTAAAAACTTTTGTTAATAACTTTTTGACAATACACTCTTCGTATATTTAAAATGGACCATCGAGCTGTAAAAAAGTTATTATTGTTAAAAAATTATTTTCCATAACAAAAATGGTTAGTAACTAAGGTTTTTTCTGGACTATAACATGTTAACAATATTTTTTAACAACTTTTTCACATATTTTATTTGCTCGAATATTTGACAATCACATACTAACACTCGTAAAAAAATTGTTATTTCTTTTCCTGCATGCCTGCCCAGAGAGTTTTTTTTTTTCTTTTTTTAAAATTACTTGACTAACCTTGCGTTATGTGTGATTTGGTGTGCACGAGAAAGAAACACTGTCATACCTCATTTTCAAAAGGAGCCATAACTAAACTCACCCATCACAGCGACGATGAATTTCTCTTCTGATTACTCTATTTTCGCTTCGATCACTTGCTGCGGCAGACCCGAATGCTGAGGGAGTTATGGTATTAGTATTGTTAGGATTTAGGATTGGGTCGCGGGTTCAAATATCCAAAGTAACCAGAGTCCAGGTCCAGTTTTTCTTTTTAATGGGTAAAGTGACGAGATAAGCAGCTACGCCGAAGCGTGAACGGCATGGCGGAGAAAGCGGCAGCGCCACCACCACCGTCGAAGCCTCTGACATCTCAAGAGTGGGAAACCCTAATCGAGGACTTCCAGAATGGCGTCCAGCACAAATGGACCTCTCTGGATCCTCTCTTCGATCTTCTCCTCTCCTCTCTTCTCCGCAAGGACTTCCCTCTCTTTCTCAAGCTCCAACTCCTTGTCTTCCTCGACGAATTCTCTCTCTCCTTCCTCACATCCCACCACCATCTCCATCGCCTCGTCGAAGCGCTCAAAGCCGTTGTCCATGCGCCGCTCGACGTTGCCGCTTCCGCTTTCAAAGACCAGTTCATGGTCTCCGCTACCTCGATTCTCATCTGCACATCGGAAAACGTTGCCGTCGAGGCCGAAACGGAGACTAACCTGGTCGAGCTGCTGCTGACAGTTGTAAACCGGCCTAATTTCGGTTCGGACCGGCAAACGCGCGGCGTGGCGTGCGAATGCCTGAGGGAATTGGAGCGATGGAAACCGGGATTGCTCTCCGATGTGGTTGGACACCTGTGGAGTTTGTGCCAGAGCGAACGAACTCACGCTTCGCAGTGTTACCTCTTGCTCTTTACATCGGTGATTCACAGCATCGTCGCTCGGAAACTCAGTGTTTCGATTCTCAACACATCGGTTCCGATGATCCCTTTCTACGCGCCGAACTGTGTGACGGATTCGGGTTCAGGTTCGGAGTCAGGTTCGGGATTGAATGTGAAGGAGTTGAGGAGGGCGTTGTCATTTTTGCTGGAGTGGCCGCATGTGATGACTCCTTTCGGGATTATGGAGTTTGTGTCTATGATAGTTCCCGTGGCCTTGGCATTGGAATTGCAACCTTCCATGCTGAAGGTGCAGGTGTTCGGGATGATTCATTCCTTTGACCCTGTTCTGTGCCATGCTGTTTTGAGCATGTATGTGCATTTCTTGGAGGCCTTTGAAGGTCAAGAGGGAGAGGTTTCTCGCAGGATCTTGTTGATTTCGAGAGAATCTCAGCATTTTTTGGTGTTTCGCTTGTTGGCTATCCACTGGTTGTTGGGTCTCAATCAGTTCATTTTCGAGAAGACGAAGCCCACCATCGAATTGTGCTCCACTTTTTATCCCGCTTTGTTTGATCCTCTGGCTTTGAAAGCCTTGAAGCTTGACCTTCTTGCGTTTTCCTCGGTTTGTGCTAATGTGTTGAGGCTGAAAAGTGGTTCTGATGAGTTGATTGATCCAGTGAAGCTGTTTGAAAATGGTCTTGTTTGTGTCTCTTCTTTCAAATGGCTGCCTCCCACGAGCACCGAGACTGCTGTTGCATTCCGCACCTTCCATAAGTTTCTGATTGCTTCTTCTTCTCATTCTGACAATGATCCTTCCACAGCCAGAAATCTGTTGGACTCTGCCATTTTTCGCACTTTGCAGGTGCTAATAATGTTTCTATTTTAGAAGTTGCGTCCACGTGTATGTTAGTAACTGAAAAGTTCAGATTCCATGGTTAATTGCTGATGCTGACTCATTTCTTTTATCACTGCTGTGGTTTAGGCATGATGTATTCAAGTTTCTTTGTTTTGTTTTCCAGGGGTTTCTTGTGAACATGATGTTGGAAAGTAGAAGACTGGTTCCTGTTGTCGTAGCATTTGTTGACCGGTTACTCTCCTGTCAAAAGCATTCTTGGTTGGGTGAGTGCTTACTTCAGAAATTTGATGAGCACTTGCTTCCCAAAGTGAGAATGGATTATAAGTTGGTTTATTGCTTCCCCATATTTGATAGAATTGCTGAAAATCAGACTATACCCCCTCGTGGATTGTTAGAGCTGCTTACGAATTTCATGATTTTCCTTGTGGAGAAACATGGCCCAGATACAGGGATGAAATCTTGGTCCCAGGGAAGCAGAGCTCTTGGAATTTGCCGAACTATGCTTATGCGCCACCATAGCTCTAGATTGTTCCTTAGATTGTCTCGGCTGCTTGCATTTACATGTCTATGTTTTCCTGATCTGGAGGTCCGTGATAATTCAAGGTATTGCATAGTGCTGCCTTTGACATAACATATTTTCTAGTTTTCTCCTCTGGCTTATGAATTATATCTTGAAATTGAAGATAACTGGAAGGTTTAGAGGGTCT